GAATAGCTTCAGCAGAAAAACAATCGAACTAAGGAACTCTATTTCACCACATTAAACTTGGGAACTAGAAACATAAAAGTTCAAAACCAGGAAGACTATTACCAAAGGTTTCTTCAGGGACGTCTTCATATTGGATTCCCATGTTCAGATCTTGGTCATCATCTAAAGCACAACCACTACTTAGCAAACTTCTAAGAAGATAAGAAGACTGAATAAACCAGAGCACATTATTATACCACCAGCATTCGGATTCAAACTCGTGAATTCAGGTTCTTCACGCCATGTGAGCTCAGGATCCACCTTTTGCCTTCTTTTTTGAGCACGTGTGAGCTTGCTACTGCCATATGTTCCGAGATCCAAACCTACAAAACAAGTTTGCTAAACATATCAGGAAAATCCGGTTAACACAGATTCCACCAGCTTTTAACCTGCAAAATTGAGTTCACCATCACTCGATCATGCTTCCCTAGACCTCGGAATCAATTGAAATCTCCAGTTCACAACCAGATAAGGAAGAAACAGATCCGGAACTACGATTTAAGCAAGCAAAACACAAGAACAACTAAACGAAATCCTATCGCTCAACCTATACGCTTCCGATGTTCATAGATACAGAAAAATTCCAAACAACATTCATTATCAAACCGATTTCGAAGCACATTACCAATCGAAACTACGATTTCAGCTTTTAATCGGCTAGGCTCAAATCGCTCCATGTGTTCCAAGTTCTAGTGCATTTGAAATTTCCGATTCAAACCCAAACCAGTAAGATACAGATCCAGCACTATGATTCAAGCTAGCGAAGAACAAAATCGATCATCTAAACGGAGATACTCACTCCGATTCGTCGGAAACGGGAATCTACGGCGAAAAAAAGATCATCGGACTGAAAAAACTCACTCGGATTCGTACGAAACGAGAATCTACGGCGAAAAACAGGAAGAACGAACGGAAAAACTCACTCCGATCCGCAGGATAGTCGAATCGACGGCGAATTTCTCTTCTCTCCTTCTTCTTCCTCTGCGGTTTCGACCTCTTCGTCATTGGAGCTAGCAATACTTTTTTTGGCCAAGGCGGGGGTTGATTGGGGTCTTTTATAGGCGGGAGAACGTAGAAAAATAAAATATTTACTAACTAAATTGGTTGCGAGAGTTTTTGTCAAAGGGACCAAGGTTCGACTCCGACTACTTGAAGAAAACAAACGCAGTTTTTTTTTTTTTTCTTATCGAGAAAAAATTCTTTGGATGAATTAGTCTAATATTCATATTGGGCCCATAATGAAGAATATAGCCATGGACCGAGAGTAATTAAGTGAGTGACCGTTTGACGGTTTTCTAGCCCGTTTTATCCTTCAAGAAAACCAAGCCAATGTGGCTGAAGTTGAGTACGTGGACTATATGGGAGATGTGGCAATAAAATATGGGTGAATTTGGTGAATAACCAACAAAAACATTATAATTTAATAACTAAGAAAAAGTGCATATGTGGCAAAATCTAAGCTATTGAATTTTAAGAAATTAGTTAGTTATTGAATTATACATTTTTTTGTTATTAGTGCTAATTTCCCATAAAATAACGGATGCTTAGATTCAGATTTTTGTTAATAACATAAACATATCTAACCAAAGCATTATTATAGACATACACCACATTATTAATGGTTTCATGAACTAGCACTACATAAAAAAATGTATCACTTAAATAGTATCACAAAATCAAATGATATCATTTTAAATTATTTATTAATAAATGATTCAAAATATGTGATTCAAAATTAAATATAACAAACGATAGATAAAATAAACAGCAAATATAATTATACTATATCATTAACCAATATTATAGCATGAGTTATACTAATCGATGTAAATTTTGACATCACTTTTTGCAAGTGATACATATTAATATCATTTATAGTAATTGATGCAAATATTTACGTCAGTCTTTTTTATTGATACAAAATATTAAAGTTACCATTTTCATGAAAGTTTAGTTGTGTCAATAAAAAAAATGATGTAAATTAATAAAATAAATGATACAATTCATCCATTTTTTTTAGTGTAGACACCCAAACTACAAAACCTGCACATCTAACCTTGTTTAAAATTGTAAAATAGTTTTGTAAGTAAAAATATTGTATATTGT